TATTGAAGTTTTCTTAAAACAAAGAATAGCAGCTTGATTTGGGGCAGACCCTGAAGCATTCTCTAAGGTTCAGTGAAGACAGCAATATATTCCCTTCATTTACTTTAAACATTTTTTTTGGTTGCTTGTGAATTTTACTTCACCCCTGTTTAAATCTTTATGCAGGTGAGAAATATGCACATTGTAACACTGACTAGGATAGACAAATTGAATAAATACTACACATAGTTTGAATTTTGACCCAAATATAGGATCTTGGTCCAAATTAGGCTAAACCTAAGGAATTAACCATAGTGCTATCAACAAATTATTCCCAGTTATTTTTTATTTTGTAAAAACGTTTGGGTCCAAGACTTGCATTCACTCTTTGGGAAACTTATTTGTCCTAATTCAGGATTAGAGGTATGTTCTCAAAATCTTCTCGTGTTGTTGTTGGGTGCCGTCAAGTCAATTCCGACTCATAGCAGCCCCATGTGACAGAGTAGAACTGCCCCATCGGGTTTCCTAGGCTGTAATCTTTATGGAAGCAGATTGTCGGGCCTTTCTCCTGTGGAGCCACTGAGTAGATTTGAACCTCCAACCTTTTGGTTAGCAGCCAAACACTTAACTATTGCTCTAAATCTTCTTGTAGTGGACCTACCATCCTAAGTGACCAAGACCCCAGACATTCTTGTAGTCCCCAGATAGGAGATGGTCCAGAGGGGTACTACACCTCCTTCCCTCACCAGAGTGCCCCACACCTCCTGTCTATTCCCTTCTGCCTGCATAACCAGATTTGGGCCACACCTGTGAAGATGTGATATAAGCAACGTGGAAATTTTCATCAGTTTCCTAATAAGATCTTAAAATGGGCTTGCTTTGAGATTTTGAACTTTGAACTTTCAAATAAAACTTGAAGTCTGTGAGTATCCAGCTGTTCTTAATCAAGTGTGGTAAACATCCTGTGGCCTTAAAACCCTTTAGTCTTTTCCTCTTTACTGGTAAAATTTCAGGGTAAATGATTTTGTTATATCAGAATCCATTATCAAAACATATATAAATTAGAATATACACACACTTTTAGTCTAGATAAGAGAGAAGATGATAAGCTCATTTGTATTCTAACCCACCATTTTGGGGTGACACACAGACTTCATTAAGAGATCACATCCAGAGGTTGGCTTAAGGAAATACATGTCTGAGGGAGTCTAGAAGTATGTGCTAATGTCTACACAGTCACCTAATAATCAGTAAGCCCTTTTTTTTTGAACCTTTGTATTCTAAAGCAATAAATAGATTCAAAGGAGTGTATAGTAGATTTAACAATATAGTAAACCTAGCAACAGATCTGATTCCCTGAATTAGAAAGAGAGAAGGAAGGGAGGGAGGAAAGAAGGTAGGCAGGAAAGAAGGAAGGAAAATTTTGAGTGGCAAAAATATTTCATAGTGTACAGTGAGTTAATCATGTAACTTATATTGAGGATAAGTATTACAGTGTTTTAAGGAGTCAATTTAATAGTCATGAGTGATACCAAAACAAATTACAAACACATTTGACTTGTTTTAAGCGAATCTAAAAAGTGAAAAGTCAGACCAAAGTTAAAATATTAATGCCAAGTATGACCTTATTAATAAGTGGATTAAGAGATGTATTGTTTAACATCAGAAAGTATACTTAGCTTTACAAAAAAATTCAACAGGGGTAGTAACTTTAAACAACACAGTCTAATAATTTCAGTTAGTACATTTTTTTTCAGTGTCAAGTTAGTTTTGCAAAACACAGTCCACCTGTTATGGTTCAACATCACTATTTTGGATGACGTGGAGGGATGTCTATGTAAATTAGTGAAATGTGGTTTTATTACTTTTCAGAGCTACAGTAGCAGTAATCCTAACAATGCATCCTTGATTTGATGAATAAAAAAGATTCATTTTTAATCAGTACTTAATTATTTTTATGCAAATGGAGCTATTGTAATACTTTAAAATACTTTGTTCTCTTAAGTTGGTTAAGCATTTCCCTCTGAAATTTTTACATTATCCATTTGCTTAGCAAACTCTACAAAGCTAAATGCTTTTCCAGCCCTATTCAATTTGCACGGGGACCAAATGAACAGCTCCTCATTTAGTAAGTTTTCATTATGTACTCTCAGAGCCCATAATAACATTTTATTGGTATTTCAGTTTATTAATTCAGATATGCAGATGGTATGCAAGGTATTGGTTGTCTAATAAAGTACAAATTGTCTGATTTGTCCACCTATGTTTTACAAAAGAAAGCGATCACAGTTTATAGTTTTTTGAAAGGGAAATAAATCTGTAGTGCTATTTGTAGAACTATGAAATTTATGTTTTTATGTATTAGAAAAGAATAATTTCATAAATAATTGCAAATATTTAAAAAATCATGGTCCCTGTTTGCTCAGAGTATACCTTCTTGTTTCAGTTAATCAACAATTGTTTTTTCTGTAACCTATAGTGTCCTAGGAGCCTTGGGGGCACAGTGGTTAAGAACTTGGCTACTAACCAAAAGGTCTGGAGTACGAATCCACCAGCCGATCCTTGGAAACGCTAGAGGCAGTTCTGCTCTGTTCTATAGGGTCGCTGTGAGTTGGAATGGACTAGACGGCAAACAGTTTTTAGTGTCCTGAGCACTACACAGGCATACAGACAGTATAGTCAGTGCACCACAGGCATATAAGAGAATTGTAAGCTGCTATAAAATAAGCACTATATTTTACAGTGTTAGACAACTACGAAATGGAACAATTAAGTTATTGTGAGTTGATGAAGTTGTGAGTTGTGTGATATAAGGAATGAGTACAGAAGAGTTTGAGTAGGTGAGCTGAATTGGTGCCATCAGGGATTCATGTCAGTCTTGAAATAAGCTGTAAAGAATGGCCAGGATACCGGCATTCTAAATCTTTGTTTTTCAGTTTTTTTTTTCTGATTGTAAAAATCACACAACCACATTTTGGAAAGTAGGGAAAAATCATTTATTAACCCTACCCTCCGTTGACATTTTGGTCTGTTGTAACTTTTATTTTTTTTTTTAAATTCGGCATGTTCATCTTACTCTTCTTCTATGTGTGTTTGTTTTGACTCAGGAGTTGTCGTCCTCCCTTTGTCTTAACATTTTCGTTCTTTTTTGTGTGTATCTGTCATTTTACAAATGATTTTTAAATTCATACTATTTTAAATATATAATGATCACAAGATTTAATATGTTTCAAAAAAACAGTATTGAAGTTGAAATTTAAATGTTAATTTCTTTTTCTACTCTCCTGGAAAGCCTAGAGAAAATTTAAATTTTGTGATATTGTGACTTAGAAATATTGTTAAGATTATTCTAATTTTGAGAAAGACCTCTCAGTATAAATTTGCAGTTTTTATTTGCTTAATTTTTTTTTTTCTTTTCATTTCTTCTCCCTCCCTCCACATGTAGGTATGAAGCTCTTTTTCCATTAGTATTGTCATGCTTGATGTTTGCCTGGATATACATGGAACAAGAAACCCTACAACAATCTGGTGTTTCCCGTAAACAGAAGGTAACTTATCAAAATCATTGTGTAGTTTACTTGAGAATATTAAAATATTCTCTATCCTAATAAGGAAATTGCAATGTTATTTTATCAGAAATTTTTTTTTCTAAAAATTTTACAGTGTTTAAGAAACTTGAGTAAATTTTATTTGGCATCGGCAATTAAGTTAAACAATTAATTTATAAGGAAATTTTTCACATATCACAGAAAAGCACACTTTTATTATTTTATGGGCAATATATACGTTGAGCTTTTCTTCAGCAATCACTTAGGAGAGTCACTGATATGAAAAAACATCAGTATATGTGAAGGAATAAAGAAAAAGCTCTTCGTCTTATTTTTCTCTATTTTCACATCCAGTTATTCCTTCATTCAATTTATTTTAGTCAGAGAATATTCATGTTGTCACATTTATGAATTTGATCATAAGGTGACATATAAATTCCTAGTATTATTTTTTTCTCTTTCCAGTCATCTTAATCTACGGTGTTTATTCTGTTACCTCAGTGATTGTGGCCTCGGTTCATGCCTTAGACCTCGGTTCAACACAGTATACTTTGAACTGGTTAAAACCCAGCCAGATTTTAGGGGTACCTTGATCATGTTATGCTAGAGAGTAAAATTGATGTCTCTTGTTTTTTCTGTTGTTGTTTTCAAACTGTAGGTTATGAGGAATTGGTGATAGAATATTTACATTTTTACTGGGGTCAGATAAAATGAATATTGCAGAAAAACACCATACTTTATCCATCCTTAACTGGTTCCAGTTGAGTTCACTGTAACTGATAATTTAGAGAAATTAATTTCAATTAATAAGAAACTTAATGAAGTATATTGAATAATTACTGTTTTTAACTTTCAACCTTGGAATATTAAAACAATATGTAAAAAGCAGTTTTAATCAGATTCAAATAAATTGTCAGAGACTGTGTCCTTAATATTAAATATTTCAGTAGGCTGGCTGAAATTCATTGTATCACTTGTTAAATTCTATTTTTCAACTGAAAGCAGATCTTTCTTTCTCAAGATAAGTGTAGTCAAGCATCCTAAGACCTTTTTGTTGTTATTTTGTGCGATTGTGTCAATTCTGACTCATAGGGATGCTATACAACAGAGTAGAACTTCTCTGTAGAATTTCCTAGGCTGTAATCTTTATGGGAGCAGACTGCCAGGTCTACGTGGTATGGGTGATGGAGAAAGTCTCCCTTTTAAACACACACATGATTTTTGTTTTTTCAGGAAGTGGGATCAGCTAGCAGTGCACCCATCTTTTTGGAATTGAATAGCTTTCTGTTTACCGCAGACAAGAATATTTTGCTTTTTTATAGAAAGAAAATAATTTCTTTGCAAATAGAATTAACAGAAGAACAAAGAAGTAGGTTTTTTTTTTTTTTAACCATGCTTTTCAATACCATACTTTGAGAAGATGAGAACACTTTCTGAGAAATCAGTCTTTGAAAAGAGAAGAATTATATAGTGAATTAAAAAAGAAGCCTTTATATATCATAAGAAAAAGTTCAGTTCTCACCTTTATTACACATATAGCAATATTATAACAACCGTGATCAGTTTATTATTAGCAACATATTTTACCTTTTGGCAGATTTTATTTAGGTGTAATCAAGCTATAGGAAAAGATTTATTGTCAATTTGTTTGTCAGCATGGGGTATCTTTCTAGCCATTGTAACTTAGATTGTAAGTTTTCCTTTAGAGTGTAGAAGGAAGCCAACTTTAATTGTGTATTAATATTTTTCTTATTATCTCACAGCTCAGCAGTATTGAATTTTCCTGTAATACAGATATAACTCAGTTTCGACAGCTCTATCTGGATGATATCCGCAGGGCCTTTTTCTTTGTATCCTTTGTTGGGACTTTTATTTCAAGGAGCTGCTGCCTCCCATTTAATGGAGTAAGAAGACATAGAAGGTGTTTCTGCCCATGCAGTGTCTACACAATAAAGTTGGAGGCTTTTGATTAATATTACACCAATCTATATTTATTGCTTAATATTTCACTATATCCTTCTACAAACCCTAAGCTTTAATCAGGCTGATTTGCTGTTCTTTGAATGTGCCACTTATTGTCCTACTATTTCTTTACCTTAAAATTCCTCTCATCTACTTCTACATATCATCATAATCTTAGTCACCACATGAGCACTTCGAGACTGTTTTATTCACATTTATATTCTTAGTGCCTAGCTCTGTCTCTGACATATACTGGCCAGTGAGTGCTGGTTGATTAGTTGATTGGTTGAATGGATGTATACACGAATATATTTAAGGCTCAACTCGCCAACTGAAATGCCACTTTTTCCTTGGAAGTTTTTGATTCATATTGCCTCTTCAGTGTTTCTATACAACTTTCGTGTGTGTGAGTGTGTGTATGTATAATAATAAAATAACTAACATGTATTAAGCCCTTTCAAAGGGCCAGGCATTATTTTAAGTACTAACAGTAAGTTCTTGATTACCAACAGGATTAATATCTATAACTTTTGTTAGTGCACTAATACAACTGTAAGTTAAAAAAATGTTGAAAAGATGTTAAACATTTTCTTATATCTCATTTTCTACTGAACTATTTTAAAACATGATATCTTATTTCTTTCTGACCCTTCCAAAGAGCCTAGCATGTGATTCACATGTAGTGGGCACACTAGCACTTAACTACAAATACAGTACAGGCAGTCCCAGGTTGCAAACGTCTGACTTACGGACAGCGCTTACTTGCCTTTAATGTTGTGTAAACTTGCCCTCACTTTGAAACCAACCCCTATTTGCAACAAATTCTTCATCACAATCACCTTCACTTGCTGCATGTGCAGCTTTTAAATCACTGAAAAGGCTTCGCGCCTTTTCTTGCACTAAAGTAAGACTAAATAAGAACCATACGCACCTGTTCTGACTTACCTACAAATTCGACTTAAAGACACAGTTAGGAACGGATCTTGTTCGTAACCCGGGGACTGCCTGTAGTGTAACTCTCCATGTTAGAAAAGAGAAAGATTGTAACCTTCCTAAGGCAACTAGTGACTAAGGGAGTACGACTTCCCAGGCCTCATTGTCCTCAGCTCGTCGCCTCTTCAATCTGGTTCTTACAAAATGCATTTACAAAGAGATGCAATAGAACCTTCATTTAGAACAATTTCCTGATAAACTGTAAAGGTAAAAAAGTGGATTACCCTCATGATAGAATTGGTGTATCTTTTTTAAATGGAGAAGAAATTTCTTACAAATTGTGAATTATTTTGGCATTTCCTTAACTCTATTTAGGTTTTCTTCCTAGTGATAGCATTTTTTGGAACTGGCAATATAGCATCTATTAACAGGTAATTTTAAATGAATACATCACATATATTTACCTAAAACCAAAAATATGCAAATTGGAATCTTTAACCTTTTGTTCATACTTTGCTTTGAACACTGAATGATGTGTTTTGGAGATTGTTATGTATCAGCATATACAGATCTACCTCATTCTTTTGAGTGACTTCATAATATTCATTGATATGATGTGTGCTTGTGTTTTGGTAAGGTTAGATTTCAGAAAATTCATTTAAACTTCCATTTTAGAACAATATTCTTTTAAAGTTATGGTGTAGATTCTAACATCCTTTTTCTTCATGTTATGACTCCTTAGCTTCGACCTTGCCTCTGTCTATTGCTTTCTGACCGTGTTTAATCCTTTTATGATGGGAGCCCTGATGATGTGGAAGGTTAGTTTTCTTATTTTTATTAAGAGAATGATTATGAGCCCATTGTGACATTAAGATTATATAATGTTATGTGACATTAAGATCATAAAGTTACTGTAACAGAGATAAATAGCAGTGGAAAGAGACAGTGTCTCAGACTTGGCATTGAGACCACTGCTGGATTGGAGATGAGACTCTCTAGCCCTTACATCAACATATAGTTAATCTTTTTATTCTTAAGCCCATCTGACTCCAAAAGAATAAGGATTTCATATTAGTCCCAGAAGGTCCTATTAAAAGCAGCTAAAGCCTGTGGGGAAGCTGTGATCAAAACTGCAGTGTTCTGAAACATTCTGAGGCTCCCTGAACCCGTGTTCCCCACCCACGAGACTACCAACATGTTATAAACTCACAGTCTTTTTCTAATCCATGTACCTAGAATAGATTCATTCATTCAACAGATGTCATTGAGTGCTTTCATGCAGTAATGTGCCAGGCACCCTTCTGGGTGCTGAGGATACAAAGAAGACAATGACTCATTCTCTGCTTTCCAGGGATTCAGACTGTCCAGTAGAATGTAATTCATATTCTTCCCCTTTGTCTTAGGGTCATTTATGCTCATCTTATTTCCTCCACCTACCTCTACCGTATTATCTCTACCATTGTGCCTGGCACATTTTATGTAGTTGGTACATATTTGCTTAAATAAAGTAACTAATCCCTGCCTAGAATATGATTACTTGCTATTTAGATCACACAAGTAATTATTGTTAAAGAATACGCCTCTCATAATAGGATCACTGTCTACTTTTTGTTCACACTAATGCAAATATAAGTTTAAGAAATGTTAAAAAAGATGTTCAGAATTCTCTCATGTCTCATTCTTTATTGAATTATTTTAAAAACATTATTGTTTCCTTAATTTTCATTCACAGTCTTTTTGGTAGTTCTTTTCTCAATTTATTAAAGACTAAAACCAAAAAAAAAAAAAAAAAACTCGTTGCTGTCAAGTCAATTCTGAATCATAGTCTTTAATTAAAAGCAAGAGAAAAGAAATAAAAAGAAAGGCTTGAATTAGAATGCTAGATTTTTAATCTCTAGCATGATTCAGTGAGCTTTAATGATATAATGTGCTTGACGACTTTTGTTGACTGATGTGGCAGTAAGGGAACGTCCTCCAGAACTCTATTTTAGTCATGTATCCTTAACTTGAAAAGGATTAGCATGCCATCTTGAGAATCAGCTCTTTTCCATATTTTCCTTCCCCTTTTTTGAAACAAAGTATATATATGTTTTTAAGAATTGATCATTGGAAAGCATATCTCAAAATGTTAATAGTGTTCTTTCTGAATTGTGGATTTTCAACTAGTTCAAATTTTAATATACCTTTACGTATTTTTTCAAAATTTTTACAGTATGAATTTTATAGTCAGAAATAAATTAGTATTTCAAAATCCAAAAAGCAATAAAAAGCAGGTAGATCATGTTCATAGTGTTGTAGTATCAAGTAGGGAGCCCTGGTGGCACAATGGGTAAGCACTCGGCTGCTAACCAAAATGGTGGCAGTTTGAACCCACCATCCGCTCCTTGGGAGAAAAGACCTAGTGATCTGCTCACATAAAGATTACCACCTAGGAAACCCTATGGGGCAGTTCTACTATGTCACACAGGGTCACGATGAGCCAGTATCAACTCACCAGCACACAACAAGAAGTATCAAAGAACCAGATGGGTTCAGGAATCTATGAATCAAATTACCACGCTATGTTATTTTTTTTATTTGGTCATGCTGTGCCTTTCACATCCCCTTGGAATCATTTGAACACTGTCGTTAATTATTAGAATGAGTTAAAAAGAACAAAATTTTATAATAGACTTTCATTTGGAATGTTTATTGCTTTTTTTTTATACTGCATATGTAATTAATGTAGATTTTCTTAATCAGTTTCATTGCTATTCTGTATGTCATTGGTATCATGCTTTTATTTCATCCAATGTTTGCTCTTTACTAATATATATGAAAGTTATCTGAGAAGTTGAAAATATTTCTATAAGCAAAAATAGTATTGTTTCAAAAAGTTTCAAATGCTTCATTGGCTCATTTACATTCTTTTTAAACAGATTTTAATCCCTTTTGTTCTTGTGATGTGTGCTTTTGAAGCAGTTCAGTTAACTACCCGGTTATCATCAAAAAGGTGAGATAAATGCTTAAGAAGCATGTGGTATGCTCATTTTTAGGAAACGAGAGTAAACATTTGGCAGTGTTTCCTGTGATGGCTGTTAAATCATTGTAACATAGATTGTTTATTATTACAAAAATGAAAAAAATGTTTTACCCTTTTAATCAGAGTTTAGTTGTTATTAGAGGAAATTGGTTGATTAGGGCCTCTCGGTGACTAATATGCTTTCTCAGCAATAATATATTATTAGAATATTATTCAAGATAGTAAAGAGCCTCCCTAGAAAACAGTAAAAAATAAAAAGTTATTGTTTGTTTTAAATACAACTATGCTGACAAAAAACAAAAGGTATTCTAACTTCTCTTTTGACTTATTTCTTAAATATGTATTAGGCAAATGTGTTAACATTATTTCATGTTACATGAAATTAACTTTTCTCAGTGTCAATAATTTACATAGTCTCTCAGTCTTGATTTCTACACGTTTGACAAATGGAGTTGGAAGTCTACTTTCTGAGTTTTGGGAATTTCTGGAGCAGTCAGTCATAAGCAATCAAGACTTTTAAGGAGAAGCTGTCAACTCAGCTGTTTGCTCTTTCTAACCAGTGAAATTGCCTCATCAGCACAGGACTGATCAGCCTTCCTGAAAAACGCTTTAGATAAATATGAAGCTTCTTAGCAGTTTTGTTATTCTTGAAACAAATCAGCGTATTGAATGCTGAAAGAAATAACTAATATCAGCATAAATTTGCATGTTCTTGATGAATTTAAGCTAGAACTGTGTTCACATATTATTATCACATGGCATAATTTAAAAAAAATGTTTTCCTTCCACTGTTTAAGAATAGTAGAAATCTCATTTTTCTATTTTAATTTAGTACATTTTGCAGGATAGTTATATGAATTTAACATTGAAAGCATTTAGATCTTGCCCATATCACATAAAAGATATAATCTCTTCCCCTTAGTTACACAGGTACATTTAAAACTGGTGTTATTGTTAGTTGCCGTCATCAATTCTGACTCGTGGCAACCCCATGTGTTACAGAGTAGAACTGCTCCATAGGGTTTTCTTGGCTGGAATCTCTATGGAAGCAGATCGCCACCCTTTTCAATTAGCAGAATTGTAGAAACTAGTGTTGGAGAGGTAGCCAGGGGTCAGAGCATATCGAGTGGATTCTGGTTACTAGAAGAATTAAAGCTAGTGCTAGACAGTGCCTTTATCAGGATTGTTACATTGGAAATTCACACTTCGAGTGCATGGGTTTCTGGATAACATTGCCTTCTTTCAAACCTGTAGTTAGAAGGACAGCTATTTCTTAAAGCAAATCATTAACCTCCACCAGAACCTCATACCTTACAAAAAAAAAAATTAACTCAAAATGAATCATGGACTTACAATTTTTAGAGAAAAACCTAAGAAAATCTCTGGGTTCTAGAGCTAGGCAAAGAGTTAACTGTGACACTAAAATCACGATCCATAAAAGGAAAAGTTAATAAATTGAGTTCATCAAAATTAAAAGCTTTTGCTCTGTGAAAGATCCTATTAGGAGGATGAAAAGACAGTCACAGACCAGGAGAAAATATTTGCAAACCCCATATTTGACAGAAGACTAGAATATATAAAGAACTGTCAAACTCAACAGTAAAAGCAAACAATTCAATTAGAAAATGGAGAGAAGAACTGGAAAGGATATACAAATGGCAAATAAGCTGATGAAATGATGTTCAACATCATTAGCTATTAAGGAAATGCATATTAAAACCACAATGAGATATCATTACACACTATCAACATGGCTAAAATGGAAATGGTGGCATCACCAAATGTTGGTGAGAATACAGAAAAATTGGATCATTCATACATTGCTGATGGGAATGTAAAATGATACATTGATTCTGGAAGAGTTTGGCAGTTTCTTAGGAAACTAAATGTGCAGTTGCCATACGATCCAGCAATTGCTGGATTTTTCCTAGAGAAATGAAAACTTGTATTTAGACAAAAACCTGTACACAAATGTTTATAGCAGCTTTATTTGTAATAGCCACAAACTGGAAGCAACCCTGAGGCCCTTCAATGGTTGAATGGTTAAAAAAGGAAAAAAAAAAAAGACAAACTATTAATTACAAGCAACAATGATGTCCAAAGAATTATGCTGAGTGAAAAAGCCAATTTCAGAAGTTTACACACTGTGTGATTCTATATAATATTATTGAAATGACAAAGAAATTTAGAATAGATTAGTGGTTGCCAAGGAGGGTGGTGGTGGTAGGTGGAGGATGGGTGTGGCTGCAGAGGGACATCCTTAGGGATCCTTGTGGTGATCGAAATGCTGTGGATACTGACTGTATCAATATCAATGTCCTAGTTGTAATGTTTATTGTATGATAGGTTTACAAGATGTTGCCATTGGGAGAAACTGGGTGAAGGGTGCATGGGGTCTTTCTGTATTATTTCTTACAATTTCATGTGAATCTAAAATTATCTTAAAATTTAATTAAAAAATCATAATTCATGTCCTTTGTATACTATTGAAAAAAGTATCCAAAGTGTTCAATAATATTTTTGAACTCTAGCCCATCACTGTGGAACGGTCACCCAGGATAATGTGAAAATAGCTCTGTTGAAAGTAGTGTTTTCAGAAGCAAAAATACTAACAGATATTGGATTATTTGATTATTCTCACTTGATTTTAATGTGTTTGAAAAAATATGCCTGTTGTATTATACCTAATTTTTTTTTATTTGTTTTCAGCCTTTTTCTCATTGTTCTCGTTATATCAGACATTATGGCACTGGTAAGGCTTTATTGGATATTCAGGGTAAATAAGATCAAGAAACTAAGTGCTAAGTTCATTTAATCAAGAGAAATACAAACTGCATTCTTATACATGAAGTCTTTAGATATTGAGTTATAAGTGTTGGCATAATTTACACATACAAATTACTTCCCCTCTTTATGACTCAATCATGCAGTAAGTGCTCTCCTTAAGGTGTCAGAAGTCTTATTACTTGGTTTGTTCTAATCCATCATTTTATACCTACTATTCCATGTTGCTTTGTATCTGAAATGAAGCTTCCATAGGACATGAATAGAAAAAAGCTAAGTTTAGTTTTAGGTAAGACATCATTTTCCTACTTGAAATGTTGATTTTTAAACCCTTCTTTCAGATTAAAAAAGAAGGAAAAAGGAGAGAAGAAGGGAGGGAGACAGGGACAGAGGGAGATGGAGAGGAAGGAGGGGAGAAATGAAAGAGGAAATACAGCTTTCCAAGAGAGTAGATGTTACCAAGGTAATAACTATATTAAACGAGTTCTGAGCAAGGAGTGTGTAGGTAGGCCCTTTTATATGCAGTGTATTACCAAATTGAGGAAACTTTTTTTAACATCTGCAAGTTTTAGAAGTCTCCAAGACCAACCTTCAGGTTGATAATTAGCTAATAGGGCTCACAGAACTTACTGAAAGCTATTATACTCATGATTATAGTTTATTACAGCTAAAGGATACAGATTAAAATTAGCTGAAGGAAGAAGCACATAGGACAGGGTCCAGGAAGGACCAAATGTGGAGCTTCCAGTTGTCCTCTTCTCTTGGAGTCAGGAGAGATTACAGAGTATTGCCAACCCAGGAAGCTTACCTGAGCCTTGGTGTTTTATTTTTATTGTTGTTTTTATTTGGGGCTCAATCACGTACTGCCCATGTGGCTGACCTTTAGTCTCCAGTTTCTTCATTGGTAGAACTGATACTTTGTGGCCCAAAGCCACCATCATAAATCACATTGTGAACTCTCTGGTGGCCAAGGCCTCCAGGCAAACAGGCATTCCTATCAGACATACATTCCAAGGGCCTAGAGATCACTTCCCAGTAGCCTACTCTTTGAGTAAGGTTAATTCTTCATATCTTACACTAGTAGTGATTAGAGACACTAATTAGGGTAACTTCCCAAATCAGGTTCCTAGTCCCTTGATTTAGATGAGGGGCCCTGGTGGTTCAGTGGTTAAGTGCTTGGCTCCTAACCATAAGGTCGGCAGTTCGAACTCACCAGGTGCTTTGCGGCAGAAAGATGTGGCAGTCTGCTTCCGTAAAGATTACAGCCTTGGAAACCCTATGGGGCAGTTCTACTCTGTCTTGTCGGGTTGCTATGAGTCAGAATGGACTGGGTGGCAACAGATTTTGATTTAGATGAGAGCATTTTTGTGTCATTTTGAACTGCATGTCAATGTATTTCTGAAATTGACCACACATACTATTAGAACAAGTCACCTGTCAATTTTGCTGACAAAGTAGCAAATAGGAAGGCATCTTAATAGAAGAGAATTTAAATTCTCAGTGATTAATTTTATGTAAAGAGTCAGATTGCTTAATTTATTATATAGAGCCATTTATGACCTGGCTGGTGCTTACTTGACAGGACTCATCTCTTACCTTTCCCCTCCCTGCTTGCTCTACACCTGCCTCACCTGGAACCTATCAAGTTCTGTCTAGACTCTTGACACTAGTAAAGGCTACTCCCTGTGCCAGAAACACACTTACCCTTCTCTCTCCCCTACTGCTCTTTCACTTGACTCCTGCTTTTCATTTAAATCTCAGCTTAGGAGCCACTCCCCATGGGAAGTCTCCCCTTATCCCGCAGCAGAGGAGTATGTGCCCTCTTACTCTGTACTCCCACAGCTGTGCCTATATTTCCAGTAGTAACACTCATCACGCTATTAGTCTATTTGCCTGATAATTTGACTGAATCGTTCATTAGACCATACATCTCATGAGAGGGAGTTTATCTCCAGGACCTAACAGAGTGGTTAGCACATAGTAAGCAGCAGTAAATATTTATTAAATGGATGGATGAGATGGCTTCTTTTCACTTAACGTCTTTGGTATCATTTAACCAAAAAACCAAACCCGTTGGCGTCGAGTCCATTACAACCCACAGCGACCCTATAGGACAGAGTACAACTGCCCCATAGGGTTTTCAAGGAGCGACTGGTGGATTCGAACTGCCAGCCTTTTGGTTAGCAGCCAAATACTTAACAGTTGTACCACCAGGGCTTGTTTTTTTTTTTTTAATTTCTGGTTATCTGCAAATGTCACTCTTATGTTCATTTGATTGAATAGTTCTATTTCTGGCCTTTAGACTAATACTTATTTTAGTAGAAGTAAACAGTTCAGGAAAGTTCATATTTTATTGATATTGAAGGGTCAAAAACCTGAAACACACATTCCTAAAACAACTTTGCTTTTAGACTGAATCTAAGTTTCTTTTAATTAATGGAACCATATTTTGTTTATTTTACAGCATTTTTTCTTCTTGGTCAAGGATTATGGCAGCTGGCTTGACATTGGAACAAGGTATAGTATATATTTACATAAAAGTTCTTAAGCGTATAGTGAAAGAAAGTAACTTGGTATCTTAGTATAAAAGGTACTAAAATGATTTTGAAGGAAGCATAGCAAGTAGAAATCGTTGTAAGCCTCTGAAGGTGAGACTTGTCATCTCCTCCATTCTTCTGGCTGTTGGCATATTAGCAAGTGTTTTCTTAGATAGATGCTAAGTCTGGAGAGAACTAGAGGACAGCAGGAAGGTATGAGAGGAACTACCTCAACTTGAGGTTTCAGAGTAGATCACTCTGGTGTCCTTGTGTGGTTTCTCTCTGTCTCTCTCTCTGTCTCTGTCTTTCTCTCTCAAAATGAGGCTGTGCAGGTTGCAGCATGAATTTTATGTGGTGACTTAAATCCCATGTAATCATTATCTACCTCTCAAAATCTTTAATATGGGAACATTTTAACATGTGATACCTTATTATTTAAAGTGTATCGGAACACAAAGTCACTATTTCCTCTTTATTGTGATTTGAATGTCAATGATTGCCATAATCTGTTAAGTTTATTTTCTTTGAGAAGAAAGCAAATAGATTTGATTCTTTTGCCTTTTTGTTTCAGATGTTTTCTGAGACAAAATACATTTTGACAGATTTATTTTAGTAACTAATATTTATTCATCACTTTGTTTTGCTAGGAATTGTGATAGGTTTGGGTGAGATACTCCCTGTTAGTCTCTCCCCTGTTCATATCTCTCAGGCAAGTCACTGCTTGTTATATGTGCACATATCTGCCTCCCCAACAGACTGTGGGTTCCCTGACTCTGGGATCTGATTCTAGTCTCTTACATTCCATATGTGCTAGGCACATAGGGGATACTCCATAGATCATTGATTTGGTTTTCATAGTCTCTTACGTTTGAAAGCTTAGAGAAAGTTTTGATATCTCCTCCTTCTCACCAGCCATCTGATCCCAGAAGCGTCCAGTCAGATAGTGGGTCAGAGCGTGGGTTTTACACCAGACCACCTGTGTTTGAATCCCAGTTTTGCCACTTTCTAGCTGTGAGACCATGGGCAGGTGACTTAGTCTCCCTAAACTTCTCTTTCCCTTGTACGTAGTCGGTTTGAATGAATTAGTCCATGTAAAGCATTTAGCATGGTGCCTGGCATCTAATAAGCACTCAGTAAATATCAGCCGCTACTATTGTTGTTATTCAACAGTTCTTTTTTTTTTTTTTTAATCCTTCATGGTGTTTCTTGGATTTGACATACCTCTCTTTACTCTCTCTATATTCTAATTAATTTATTTTCATTGTAGACATAGGTCAGAGTTTTATTTGCTTGGAAAATAATTCAGGTAAAATACATCAATTTTATGTGTGAGACTTTTTTGTGAGAGAAATCTATGTTAGTTTTGACACTAAAAAGGCGCCAAGGAATAAAGAGGACATATTTTTCACTTGAAAATATACATCATTAATTTATGCACACCATCATTAATTTATATTGCACTAATTAAGAATTTCAGATTTTCTCTGGTTAGCTTGAGGTTTATCTTTACCTGGCAATTTTTTTCTTCAAAGTGCATGTTTTTAGTGTAATTACTAGTAATAACATATGAAATGCAAAGCATCTTTTTATATCAGTGATCTCAATTATATCCAGCAAATATTTATTGACTTCCAACTATACACCAGGAAGGTTGCTGGGGATGAAAAGCACGCAGTCCTGGGCCCTCAGGGAGTTTAAGGCTTGCAGGAGAAACAGATACATGAGTAGGCAGTGTGGTACAGTGTGAGAAGTTCTAGAATATCTCTTAGTTGCTATGGGAGTGCTAACTCAGGGCACCTACCTCACCTTGCAGGGTAAGGGAAGCCTTCTCAGGGGAGGGCCTGGCTAAACGTCACAAGTCTGGGCTTTAGAAGAACACATTAGGTCCCAAGATTTAGGAAGAACGTGTAGAGTGAGAAAAGAAGATCTAAGATGGGGCCTTAGGAACCACTGATATTTAAAGACAGAGAACAGGAAGTGGGGAATGAAATTGAAAGAAGTGGCCAAAAGGCAGGAGAAAACCAGGAGGGAGTAAACCAAAACCCGTTGCTATCGAGTCATTTCCTACTCATAGCAACCCTATAGGACAGTGTAGAACTGCCCCATATGGTTCACTAGGCTGAAATCTTTACAGAAACAGACTGCCACATCTTTCTCCCGCAGAGAAGCTGGTGGTTCGAACCGCTCACCTTTCGGTTAGCAGCCAGGCACTTAACCATGCGCCACCAAGGCTCCTAGGAGAGAGTAGTATTGTAGAAGTCAAAAAAGCGGTTCAGGAAGGAGGGAGGTCATGCCATATCAGATGTTACAGAAAGTTTGTATAAGACATAAGAGTGTGCATTGGGTTAAGCAGCAGTTGTCACTCTATTTGTGGTAAAAGACAGGCTGCAGGAGCGTTATGCTGCTCAAACACTGAAGGACTTTTTTCTCACTCAAGCAAGTAGTGATGAAGCAAGATACCCATAGCTAGCCCCTAAACAGAGATTTCCCTTGGCTGGAGCATTGCCTTTGTTACCTTGATTACTTTTATAGTCTTACCACCCAAGACTCAAGAAGAAATTTCTTTTCAACGGTTGTATCCCTGAATTCGTGGCCTTTTCCCTCTTACTAACTTATTTAGTGACTATTTATTGAGCAACTACTGTATGCCAGTCTTTCTAATTATATGCATACTGTCCCTTATTTAGTTGTCTAAATTGAATAATCAATCTCTTGTCAGTTTATCATGGGTTCCATTCTATTTATTGCTGTTTTTTCCTGTTTCCTTTCTGTCACCTTCTGTCTTTCATATAAAACTTAATTGACATTATTGTCCTCAATACCAGATAAAATTCATCTTTCCTTTCTCTGCTTCTTTCATAATATACTGTTTCATCAATAAGAAGAAAAAGAAAGAAGAAAGGATGAATTATGGATGGATAGATGGATAGATAGGAGGGAAGGAGGAAGGGATAAAAAGAAAACCTCTTTTAGCCTCTTATTTTTCTATCTTCTGGCATCAGCATCAGCCTTTGATCCATTCTGTAAGTCCTACATCTGTCTTTGCCCAAAAGAAGTTACTTAATCCTCTTCGCAGTCTTTACGGTTGCTTGTTTAAAGATAGTCACCATTTTTCTCTGGAAAATTCTGGAATGTCTTTCTTTAGAAATGTTAAGGTAAGCGGTTTTAATTAATTTAATACAATCATGTTTATCTCTTCTCCCTTCTGAGATCACCAGAAGTTTCCAGAAACTGGGGGATTGGACTGTTTTGCCACAGAAAAAGTTCTACCCAAACCTAGGAAAACTCCAGGTTAAACAGTGATTGAGAAAAATTAAGGATTATTGAAAAATTTAATAATTACTATTAAAATAACATTTATTGCATGCAGTATATTAGGAGTTATACTTGTTATTTCATTAATTCTTTTGACAATGATATGAAGAAAATATAATTATTTCCATTTTGCAGAAGAGGAATCTGGCTTAGAAAGACTAAGATTACACAGTAATATGGCATAGCTAGATCTCATTTTTTTTATTGTATATGCATTTGTTATATAGCTTATTTCCTCAGGATAAAAAAAAATAACATACTGAGCACTCATTATACATACATAATTCCTAGGCATTGTGAAGCACTCAAAGATGAATGGGATTGCCTGCCTAAGACTTAGTGATGCCCTGTCTCTGGAGATAACTATTTCATCAGGATGCTAGGTAGGAAATTCAAGCACTGAGTGGAAGATTCCAATATAAAACTTGGAAAGGACACACCAGCCCTGGAATTATGGCCCCTGCATTCAGGGAGATTGCAGTCTAACACAGGATATAAGACATAATAATAACTGTAACACAAGGCAGCATGTGGTTAAGGGCTAGAGGAATACAGCAGGGAGGCGGTTTCACCCTAGGCTTCAGTGACTGAGGAAACATTGTACAAGGTCTGGCATTTGAGCTGGCCCTTGAATGAAGGGTGTAATTTCAATCGGGGTACTTAGTGCTTTGGGAAGAGTATTTTAGACAGAGGGAATGGACTTTAGCAAAGCTATAGGGGTGAGGAAGCCCAATGCATAAGTATATGTGATAAATAATTTGGATTTCAGAAACCATAGATTTTAGATAAAGAAGTTTCTGGAAAGTAGTCTTTTAGTCCTCATCTCTGAGTACTTCACAATGCTTAGGAATGCTTTCTGCGTGGTGAGTGCTTGGTGTATGTATTTTTTCCTGAAGAAATGATCTGTATGGTAAATGCATAGACAGTACAAAAAATGAGATCTAGCTAAGCCACATCACTGTGCGATCTTAGTCTCCTTGATTTGGAGAACCTGGACTACAAGCTACAGAGCACATCCTTTTTGCATATAAGTAAGGAGCCGTATTATTTGGTTGTACTTGAGCTTTAGTATGTTAAGTGTTACTTTCACAAGTGGACCATTGTCTAGAATTTAGGAATCTTGATTGCCGTTTGTTTTTATACAGGTTTATCCAGTGGGGTGAGGGGCTGGGGTGGGTGTGTGCCTGGGAGTGGAGGCACTAACCAGAGCAGCCCTGTCAGGGTCACTATAGTGTTGTTGTTGTGTGTTCCTGGCATCATACCTTGGCAACCAGTCCTCAATTCTCTCTTGATCCCCTGAAGTCATTATGTGCCTCCAGGCTTGGGTTTTTTTTTTTTTTCCTTCTGTTTCCTTCAAGGTCAGTCCTCCCAGGCTGCAGTGAGGTTGAAAATGCCCTTCACAATGTCATAGGACTTTGCGCCAAGCCCAGATTGCCAGCTTTTACCCTTTTCTTCCTTGATAGCTTTTAAAAGATTGTTTAAGCTATAGTAAAACTTGCATTTGGCATCCAGCATGACATTATTGGCCCTTTTGTGGAACCTCCAGCCCTGTTCCTCACATGCCTTTACACACCGTCATGGGAATATAGTGTTCACCACAGCACAAAATAATAGCAAAAGGAGAGGCTACAGAGGCATAGTGAGTGACATCATTCAAACTAAAGA